AGAGTAGACTACAATGCCGGCTGTTCTGATTCATAGACTGCAAGTATGTTTTCATTTTTTTTGATTTGCCACTGATGATTCAAACGCGCTGAGTAGAGTAGTGCTTGTTTGTCATTTCTCCGATCTCAAATGCAGACATGGTTTTATGTTTACGCGGCACGCGTAAAAAGACAGTATAAGTCATTATAATCCGTAATTATGTGCCCACTGGATGCAACAAATGCCTCGTTTGTAATGGGTTTTCATGTTTTTGATTTGTCGCTCCGTTCAGACAGGGCATCACAGTATGGTAAGGGGCGTAACATTTCCGTCTCACGCTTGAGGTATTCGGCCAATTACAACGCACTGGATAGCTGGCCAATCAGAGCACACCTCGCTTTTCAGACCGATGAGCTTTGTAAAAATCGACGCGTTTCAGAAAGGCGGGTCATAGAGGAGAAACAATAATGTACAGTATGTGTAAAATAATGCTGTTTTTTTTACTTTAAACCGCATAAACACATTTTATTACACCAAATGCACAAAATAATGTTCTTTTTAGCAACATCATATGACCTCTTTAAGTAACAACCAAGCGGCCAGCGGCGAACTGAGTTGAGCATATATGTTTGATCAATTTAACCTTCTCAAATCAACATGACTTGCCTAAAATAAAATCTATAGACATAATACACCATGCAATTCACAATATTAATAAAAAAATGTAACCTAGATAAATGTGTGCTGTTAGACGCATATACAGTCGTTTGTGCGGAGAGTGGAAGCTGAAGCGCGCTTTGCAGGACATGGAGGCGCCAGCGCGATCACTTGCATTTTTTTTCTTAAGAGTGGAAACTTAACATACGCCCTGTCATTTCTGCTCATAAAGGTAAGAGTAATACATCATTCGGAATTGTAAAGGGTCTACTTTTATTTGTGTGCACTCACAAACAATATCAACAAAAACCTGTGCTTTTGTAAAATAATTAAGGAAAACAAACAGGATGTGCTTTCTGTCGTCTTGGTCTTGAGCAGGAGCGCTTCATAATGATGAACCGAAACTCAGCGAATACTTGCCTCCTCACAGACATGATAAATATATCTAATAGAATACTTTAAATACTTTGAAACTAAATAATTCAAATAGAAAACAAAAACTCTTTCATTATGTAGGCGAATCCGTAAAGATGTATTTCTCTCTAAAGGCGCGCATCCTGAGGAGATGGCGAGTCGGGATCATCAACTTCATCTTGTGACATATAGGCTTAGATCTCTGCCACAATTCTGCACGCAAAAGATCATATTTTGAGCGCACAAAAGTGCATTTTGCATGTGCGCACTCAAGAAAAAAGAATTTTGAGCGCACAAAAATCTATTTTGCATTTAAAATAAGTTTTAAAGACATTTTTCACTTCCAGCCTTCATGAATAATTATATATCAATTATAAATGATTAAATAAACGATTAATAGTAGTTATTAAGGATTGATGTCGTTTGGAATTGTTCAAATGTGCTTGGAAAAAAATATGATCAGAATATCAACTTGCATAATAATTATGCATGCACTGTATTTTTCCTCTTCTGCTGTCATGGTAATGCAAGAAATGCTGTGAGTGGTTGTCAAGGCAGCCAATCAGAATTTAGCAGCCTCGTCTCTGATTGGCTGGAATTATGGCTGGGTTGTGTTGCGCAAGCGAGCTGTAGGCATTTAGAGAACACTGAGGGCGGGCATCAGGTGAGCAAGCTAGCGAAACGTTGCACACGCAAAAGAGTCTGCACACATCCAAAAACTTATTTTAAATGCAAAATTGATTTTCGTGTGCTCTAAATACTTTCTTCTTTGCGAGACAAACATTTTCTCCACAAAACTCAGTTCGTGCGCGTGCAAAACGCACTTTTGCGCGCTCAAAATATGGTCTTTCGCGCGCAGAATTGCGGCAGAGATGTAATCCCATAGTGACACTGACTCAGAAAATACTAGTTTATTAATAAATAATTCAAATATCTCCTTAGTATTTTATTTATTTATTTATTGTTTGTTTGTTTTTGTTTTGGGGCTTCTGTGCCAAGATTGTGTTTGCATGCAGTACAAATAGCCTATATGGAGGCATTTTAGTACCATGTTGATAAATAAGATTAACGTCATCATATTTTAAGAATAAAGTCCAAATTACGATAATACAATCAGGTTATAGGCATATTGCGTGAAGTTAATGTGAAAATTCCACCTATATAGCCTACTCCGCCTAAATAAATAAATAAACAAATAAAATAAAATAAAAAGTCTGTTGGAATCCAACCTGTCATTCTTCACATTTAACATAAAAAACAGCAATAAAAATAGGCTTATTGACGTTTTTTGAAACTCGAATTGATCGATTTCATGAGACATTGAATCGTTTGTATTAAATTGTTCAGATTTTTTCAACATGCATTCAAATATTTATTCATGTTTATTTCGTGCCGCATATATTAAAGATGAAAATATCATTGATTCACATGCTGCTTGAACTGAGATGAATATCTCACTACAAATTTAGAAGCGTAAAAACACATTTATTGTTTGTAGTATTTTATTATAAAGTTGACAGAAGGCTGACACTTTGTGTTTTAATATAAGTAACAAAGCACAAAATTGCGATTATTGGGTGGCTTGCGTGCTACAAATGATGAATGGACTTGAAAACGTTAAATATTATTTCCAAGCATTTATACCGTAAATAAAACAGCTTGTGAATACAAGTAACGTTAATCACTTCAGAAAAATCAACAATAAGTTATTATAAAAAAAAAAAATCAAATTTACCCATACAAATGTTTTGCATATGGGCCCGGGGCTGACTTGCTACGCCACTGACTATATATATATA